AAACCTAAAGTTAAAATCATACTTAATGGTAAAACACAATGTTTTTCCTCTAAAATCAGGAACAAGGTAAGGATATCTGCTCTTATCACTTCTACTCAACATTATACTGGAGACCCTAGGCAATACAATAATGCCTGAAAAATAAATTAAAGGAATACAGATTAAAAAGGAAGACATAAAACTGTCTTTATTTGCAGACAACATGATGATCAATGTAAAAAATTGCAATGAATTTACCAAGAAAAAAACTACTAGACCTCATAAGTAAGTTCATCAATATCACCAGATACAAGGTTAACATAAAATAGTTTATTTCTATAAAATAAAATTTGGAAGTTGAAATTTTAAAAAGTATCATTTATAATATCATCAAAAAAACAGGAAATACTAAGGTAGAACAAATCTAACAAAACTAACAAAAATGTGCATGATTTGTATGCTGAAGACTTCAAAACACTGATAAGAAAAATTAAAGAAGATCTAAATAAATGGAAAAATATAGCATGTTCATTGACTTAAAGACTATTTTTAGGATGTAACTTCTCCCCAAACATATCTATAGAATCACTGTACTCTGAATAAAAATCCCACCATGCTTTTTGTAGAAATTGAGAATACCTATAAAATGTATACGAAAAAGCAAAGGAACTAGAATAGCCAGACCAATTTCGAGAAGGAAATACAAAGTTGGAAGGCTCATGTTACCTGACTGCAAGACTACAGTAATCAGGACAGTGTATTATTGGCATAAGATAGGCATATAGATAAATAGAATACAAATAGACGAGTAAATATGGTCAATAGATTTTTGACAATGGTATTTAAATGAAGAAATGATAGTCTTTTCAACAAATAGTGCTGGGGGGGGAATTGAACATCATATGCAAAAATGTTCATCTTGACCCCCTTAGCTAAAAACAATACAAAAATTAAAATAAATTACTGACATAAATGTAAAAGTAAATACTATAAAACTTCTAGAAGAAAACAAGGTAGAAAATCTTTGAGACCTTCGTTCAGGAAATGATTTATTAGAACACAAAAAACATGGGCCATAGGGGGCTGGCTTGGTGGCATAGTGGTTAAGTTTGCACACACTGCTTCAGCAGCCCGGGGCTTGTGAGTTCAGATCCAGGGCGTGGACCTACACACTACTCATCAAGCCATACTGTGGTGGCACCGCACATACAAAATAGAGGAAGACTGGCAACAGATGGTAGCTCAGGACCAATCTTCCTCACACACACACACACACACACACACAAAACATGGACCATAAAAAATTTGATAAATTGGACTTGAAAACTTCTGCTCTTCGAAAAATGAAATGAAAATCCACAAAGTGGGAAAACATATTTGTGAAACACATATCTGATAAAGAGCTTTTATCTCAAATAATATAAAGAATTCTTACAATTCAATAAGATTAACAACCCAATAAAAAAATGAACAAACAATTTAAAGAGACCCTCATCAAAGGAGATATATGAATGTCAAATGAACAGATTAAAAGATGCTCAACACTATTAGTAATTAAGGATATGCAAGTAAAACTACAATGAGATACCATTGACACTTTTATAAGAATGGCTAATATGAAATAGAGAAAAAAACCTGACAGTATCTACTGTTGGCAATGATGCAGAGCTAATAGAAGTCATATACTGGTGGTGGAAACATAAAATATCACAGCTACTTTAGAAAGTAGTTTGGCAGTTTCTAATACATAACAGACATACACTTACCGTGTAATCCAGAAATTGCACTTCCGGGTATTTACCCAAGAGAAATGAAAACTTATGTACAAAGACCTGTTCTGGAATGCTTATAACAACTTTAATCATAACCACCAAAAACTATACATCTGGTGAGTGGATACACAAATTGTAGAATAATAGAATACCTCTAAGCTATAATAAGGAATAAACTACTAATACATGTGACAACATGGGTAAGTATCAGAAACATTATGCTAGCAAAAGAAGCCAGAGGCAAAAGGCTGTATATCTTATGATTCCATATATATGACATTCTGGAAAATGAAACACTATAGGCACAAAGTTAGATCAGTGGTTGTCAGGAATTGGGGTAGAGAAGAGTATTGGACTATGATGGGGCAGGAGGAGTTATGGAAATATCCTCTAGTTTGACCTTATCGGTCATTACTTAAGTGCATATGTTTATCAAAACTCATCTAACTATACACCTAAAAGAGTGAATTTAACTCCATGTAAATTACACCTCAATAAACTTGAGTCTTAAAAAGGCATCCAAAATCAAAATATGACCTATATAAGAAGTTTGTATTTTAGTGTGAGAATAATGGTACATATAGGAATTCTGATTTGTTCTTTAGATGTATGGTTTCCAAAAAAGGTTGTGGATACCACAAGATATGTGTAAAAATATCATCTGGAGTGTACAAAGAATATATTAGAAATTCAATTTTTTTTAACCTCTTGTATTAATTGTTACCAACTTCTATTTCTGAATTTACTTTAAAATGTTGGGGGGGGCACCAAAGACACCCGACTTTTGATTCGGTAATACAACTCTTTCTATAAATTCATATCTTCATTAAATATCTATTTCATTGAAAGTTAGTTAATGCAGGACAAATGTCAAAAATCCCGGGGGACTTCAGCACCCTATAGGTTGTGAAATTTGTCCTCATTGGTAGAGCCTTTAACTACATGGAAGTTCTTACATGCCACTCAACCATGTGAGAAGAAGGAAAGGAAGGAGTAGAAGCCAAAGTGCTATAATCTGGAGCTAGAGAGCTGGTCAAGGATGTGTTCCCAGTGAGAGAGCAGAAGCTAAATAACATACAAGAGATAGAGTGGTTATAGAATAAGCAAATATCGATATTTTTAGTGTATACAGTCCATATAAAAGAGTATAAAGGGTTCAGTTAGAACTCTCCCAAAAACCACGAGGCGGCCATGACCATTGGTAAAGCAAGGAATCTTAGACACTTAATGGATATTCAAAATAATCAATGACCCCAAAAGCAGAAGCACAAACAAATACCTGAAACTGTCTGTAAACAAAGATAAAATCTTATTACTAATGTTCACTGTCTGAATGTCAGTCTATCTAAAGATGAAGAACAGCAAAAGAAAGCTTACTAAGGGTGAACATTCCAGGTAAGAAAAAGGCAAGCCAGATAGAGTATCACTGCCAGGGCCAAAGGGATACCATAATCCCTGGTTTAATGTACACGAACATGATAGAGAGGCAAAAAAGAAAAAAATACCAACCAGTGACCCAGATGTCACAAGAAGATAAACCTGTCATATTTGGAGTTTTTGTGTTCTCCAGGTAATGCTAAAACCTGCACAGTGCCAATGGATGAAGCTGCTAGGAAATCGATTCAGGATGATGGAATGGGAAACATTAAAAGAAATAAAAGAAAGGTTGATAAGGACCTCATAACATCATCATCACAGCACACAGCAAACAAAGTTTCACTACACGCTGAGCATTGAAGTAGAGAAACTAAACTGTAGTGTTCTCCCTGGGATTAATAAGCAAATAGAGACTTCTACGGATCTTCCTTGGTGAATATAAAGAAAAAAAGAATCCCTTTCTCAGCCCCCTCCACCACCATTCTCTGAGATACTCATAGGAAAAGATCCAGGCTGAACCAAAATTATTCCTGTCACCACTGAATAAAGGTACTTATCAATTCTTCAGTGAGGAGATGTGAGAGACTGTCAAAAGATCCAAGGTCTAAACTTCAGAGTTTCTCAGACAAGCATTATGATAAGGTTGTTATGTGTTAGAAGTTCTCAAATAGATATGCAGACATGGGTTTGGGACCAAGTTCTAACTTTACTGAGGGGCAACTGGTACTACCAGATATCAAAATATATTACAAGGTTAAAATAATTTTTAAGAGTTCAGTGACAGTCTAAGTGTGCAGCAAGGAGTAGATATGAACATAAGAAGGAAGGGGGAAAAAAGAACAGAAGTTCAAAGTGAACAATTAAAGATCTGAATGTGCATGTGATTGATCAGTACATCTGGACATAGATGAGAAATCAACCAGTGAACTCTGAATCATCTAGAACAATCCTTAGGTAATTCGTCTGTGTTTTCTTGGTTAACCACAAAAACAGTGATTTTAAAGGTCTCTAATGTCTTACGGCTACTAAATAGTTTTCTCCTTCTGTGCTTATACATATCCTCCTGAAAACTAGCAAGGAAGCTTGGATAAATAATTCTTAATTGGTGATACTAGAGGATACTCACTTAAAGCAAAGGCAAAGAGAAAAGAGAATAAGCAAAGGGATTTCTTATGTCAAAGAAGAAAGGTGGTCAATGAAAATGGAGAAGACATACAAAAAGACGAATAAAGACGGGGCACCAAAGAAACATATTGTAGTTGGGGAAAATATTTAAAAATTCAAGAAAAGAGAAGTCGTTCTATAATGCCCCAGTATGTAGGCCTTATAGCTATCAGATATAAGGAATGAGTGTGTGTGGTAGGAGACTGGGGGGTTGCTGGGAGTACATCAGGGACACCATTCCTGTTATTGGATATTTTGATACTTTGAAGCCTCTCAACGTTTATTCTAGGGTAATCTTTTAACTTTTTAAAGCTGCCAGTGCTGTCCTATCTACCCAAGGCAGCCAGACACAGATACTGGGGTTTGTGTGGCCTCGACTCAGACAACAAAACAATGACCTCATTAAGAAGATAAGCTTAGAAGTCAGATATTTGGAATGGCTGTCATGGCTACCTACTGAATAGGATAGTTTTCAATGATTTCTTGAGTCAAGCAGTTGGCTGGGACCTGCAGGTCTTCCATAATTAGACATCGTTATACCCATTTGTATAATTTCTTTATAGGAATTTAACACATTTAATTCTTTTCTAACACTAGAATCTGTGGGTTTTAATTTAAAATATTATGGCTAATGAGTCAGAATCAAAGTGAGTTCTACTCCATATTCTCAACTTAACCATGTTTTAACATGAAATGGAAGAGCCTTACCCAATGGCACGTGGCTCGTGGAGGGTCTGGCCCTGTATTCCAGTTGTCTTGATTCTCACTCCAACTGCTTGTCCCGCAGAGCTTTCTCCCTGCTCAGCACTTCTGTGATGGCCCTGCCTTTCTGGGGCTCAAGTGGCATCACATGCAGATTCTCAAGGTCATGTGCATCTCTGACATTAATTTAGGCTGTTCAAAGAAGATAGGGGATCAAATCAATTAAATGGAAAAGATAAGAAATTTCCCTACCAAAACATTAGCAGGCATGTCATTCTGAAACATAGGGACTAGATGAAATCTCATCTGTGATGCAGAGGTCACATTTATTTTTATTTTTGTTCTTATTATTTGAAATTTTCTCTGTGACATAGCTGTTATTTGGTTCATGCTGAAATCATCTCTCTCTGGGCAAGTGTGAGGTGGGGACAGGAGAGCAGGGAAATAACAATTGCCTTGTGTCATCTATAGGCCAAATTCTATGCAACTACTTTTTTTAATGCTTTCTGTTTGAGTTCTCCTGTGGGGCTTTTTCTTCTAGACACGTACAATTTTTTTCAATGGAACTGCAATCACACTCTACATGCTGTCTCACAGTCTGCTAATACAAAATATGTTTCATTGCTTTCTCACTTCATAAAAATAGTTGCCTGGAGACAATCTGGAAAATCTGGCAAGCGCCATCTTGCGACCAGTACCAGAACTGCACTCTGTTACTACGAGATCCTTACGGGAGAAGGGTGGGAACAACACCGTGCCAAGCCAGCAATTTTCTCAGGCTTTTGGAATATATCATGCTCAAATTTAGAGTTTTCTTATGCATTACACAAAAAACTAAACGTTAATGTCTTTATTTCCAACAGTCTGATAAAAAAATTGCATGCTTACTGAAAATTGAAAAGATAACATTTATAAAAAGAAAGCATAATTCTGGAAAAATAAAATTATTGTTCCCTGAATATCTTTCCATATGTTTCTTTACATATATACATGAATGATATAATTTCAGACTAGCTTTTTTCCAGGCTCAAGTGCATAGTTTGAAAGTTTTTTCATATCAATAAGTATTTTCAATGTGATTTTTTATGAATCACTTCAAATGTAATTTCCCCCCAATCTGTAACATTTTATTGCAAACTTTTTTCTGATATTGTTAAAAAAAATGACTAAATATGTAATAAGAATTATTTTTAAACAGAGATCGTAAAGACTTTCTTGTCTCTCCAACCACACAAATAATGCCATTAGTAGGTAGCCTTATATTTTTTCTCATTTTGTTACACATATTGTATTAACGTAGTCCTTTATCTTTAAATGACATAATATGGTGCTAGTCATTCTGCAATTTGCATTTTTCACTTAATACTACTTCTCAGATATCTTTTCAAATAGATACATGTTAATACTTCCATTTGTCAGCTATATAACATTCAATTGTATGGATGTACCATGCCACATAATATTTTTAAAAGTGCTAATAGAAATAAATGAAATCCTCTCCCTGTCTCACTCTTAAAAGATATAGAAAAATGGTTCTTGCTGACCACAGTCGTACCTGTGGTCTGAAAGAATGAGCTGCAAGGAGGACACAGGCAGGGCTGTAGCCAACACAGCAACCAGGCTACAAGCTTGATGAGGTCCAGGAAAATTTCCACTATCGGCAAAAGACAAGGGGGGTATGTTTGCATGTCTGTGTGTGTCTACCAATGTTTACGAGTCTGAAACCAAATGGTTACACTGTTTCAGCTTGAGTTTACTCTTGTAATTATAAAAAATGATCATGGAATAAAGCAACTCTAAAAATGCTGAAACCAGTTAAAGATATATTTTGAAATCTCCAGTAATCTGAACACTCCAGAGATGCTGACTGTTAACATGGGAATCTAGTTCCTTCCTTAAGGAAAATGCATTTATGTTTTACAAATGTTATGACTCAACAGCATACCTGAATCTCATCCATGTTCGTGTAGATTTATATTTGTGTTTTTATATGTCAATCACTTTTTATGTTTACATTTTTCTATCAATTATTTTTTGTGCACAACAATAAGTGTTTAAGTCAAAATATAATAAAATCTGTAACAAAGATAGAAACACCGAATGCCATGTAAAAAATTTACATGAACGGCATGCCTCACTGAAGTCTTAATTTAGAAGCTGTAATCTGATCGCCCAATCCCACACTCTGGACTTCAAAAATATCGGGAGAAACTAAATTTTCAGGGGATTGATTCTGTCACAATAACAGCAATTTTCCCAAAACCATATTCCATTCCCACCTCTCCCAGGTAGCAATCTCTCTTTTTTTTCACCGTAACACGAACGCCTGAAGAAATTTCCAGAAAATAACTAGCTTTAAGACAGCCATTACCTTGAAGCTTCTTGTCAGCTGCAGCCTCATGAAATGCAGCCCCTCCCCCAAGACTGGCCAGGCACAGCTCACATCCAAGCTTCTCAGAGAATGCTCCGCCCTCTCCCTGTGATGGGGAAAGCAGGGGGCCTTTCCCTCAATTAGAGGGAGGAGAATAGCCAAGTTAACTCCAATTCACTTAAAGGGGAAAAACGTCCATTTTTAAAAGACTTGAAAGAGAAATGGCAACATGTGTCTCTTTAATTTCCATTCAAACCACAGGGGTAGGTGATTATCTAAAAAGCAGCAGCAAATCTCTTTATCATATAATTAAGATTCAGTTAAAAATATCTCTTACATATTTTTCTTGTTTCTTCTGGCACATTATTTCTACAAAAGATTTTAAGACCCAGTTGGTAAATGTGCATTAACAAGACCCGCTAGATCCTTGTTTGTGATTGCAGCATATTAATACTGTATTTTGTGGAGAATTAAATCTCTAAAATTTTAATTCTTCTGGCCCTGGGACATGATATGTGTCTCTATTTACTCAGGTTGTCTCATTCATCCTTCAGAACGTTTCATAGTTTTTTCAAATAAAGTCATTTTTAAACATAAAACATCAACTGAAATCCTTAAAGAAAAAAGATACGCGTCTGGATATACTGAAATTGAAAAAAAAAAGACTATGATAAAAACACAATAAACCAAAGTTGAAAACGGAAGAACGAACTTGACAAAAATGTTTTCAACTAAAAAACATCTCTAAAGTAACTCTTACAAATTAATAAGAGATAAACAGCAAAGTGAAAACAAATGAGCAAAGGACATAAACAGGCAATTCACAATGTTCAGCAGGAATAATTCTTCCCCGCTCCCGATATTTACTTCCCTGTGAGCAAGCTCATGTAGTGCAACTACAGGTATCTCTGTCCTTTTTGTACAGTTGCAAGCCTCTAGGCTGTTAGATTTGGTGTTATAAGGCCGATTTGACTCTCACAATAATCAATGCCCTGCAACCTACCTTCCCTTTGTACAAAAGCTGACATTTTGGCTTCCATTTGCAACTTCAATCATTTGATATCAATTTGTTCAATTTGTTCAGTAGAGAAAGGAAAGTGTTATTCACTGGGGCTCCTCAAAATCCAAATGTTCAAAATAAAAATTAAAACTGACCAATACATAAAAGATACTCAGCTTACCTAAAAATCAGTGATGCAAACATAAACAGAAATGATATTTAATTTTTCTACCTAATTTGACTTACAAAGAAAGAAATGATACAATGGACAGTTGGCAAAGGAGTGAAAAAATGGGCACTCTTGCTCACGTGCGAGGTCATAAAGCCAAGAAGAGGGCAAGACAAAATCAAAGCCAAAGTCTATCTGACTCCCAAACAGAAGGATGTGTTCTCTCTCTACCAGTACTCACTGCCTCCTGGTCTTGGAATCCTGTCTGTTAGGTAGAACCAAGGTGGATGTCATTCACCTTCAGACTGTGAGGGAATTGGTGAATGTAACCCCAGAGCGAATGTTGCTTAATCTCATGACCCTGCTGGTGAACACATTGCTGAACTACAACCATCTTTAGGAGCTGCCGTACTTATCTATGAACTCTCCACCTTTTACGTGCACCCACATTCCCACACAAATGAAAACATATTTTTCTGCACTATGCTTTTGCACTGACCACATCTGCACGATAGCATTCACTTGGCCATAGAGCAGTTATGACATGTCTCCTTTGTGTTGCAGGGCCTGGCAGTACGTTCCCTTTCAGATACAGCTATTCCTGGACAGGAGCTGAAACTCATTTGTTATACAGAGAAACGTCTATTTCATTTCATCCTCATTTACAATTGGCAACTCCTGTTCTTGTGCATTTATTATTTGCAATTGCTAATTCAATATGGGAAAATCATTTTTCTATCCTCTTTTATTGAGCTTTTTTGTTCACAAAATATCCAAGAAGTTCAAATTTAAATTTAGATTTTTGTTGCTTTTCACTTCGAGGTGTGGTTTCCCAGGAAGTGCCAAAGCGTACACACTGCAAATGGATCATCCTCAGGATTAGTTCTCTTAAGACAATGTTATGCTAGGTTTAAAAACAAAAATTATAAAACGTATGTAAAGTTGATGAGGTGCTCACAACTTCATCCATTACCACAGTGAATGAGTAAACACGACTCCTGTCTTTTGCCACCTCTGACTATTCAGGATAGAGAAACAGAGCTGTGGTATGACACTGCTCTTCCCATAATTAACAAACGAAGAGAAAGGAAATGGTCTGCTTGGGGACTCTAAAGAAAGACGAAGCCATCATTCTTCCAGAGACACATAACAGAAGGATCAGGCTGGGTCAAAATTATTCCCATAACCAATCTGAATAAAGAACATCAAAGGTTCTTTGGTCAGGAGATAGGGATTTCTGTTTGCAAAACCCAATGTCTAGCCTTTAAGAATTTGTCACGGATGCATTACGACAGAGTTATGTTTTTGAAGTGTTCAAAAAGGCAGGGAGATAGTCGTGAGTTTGAGACCTTTATTAGCTCAGTGGAGAGTAAACTTTCAAATCCTTGACAATTATGCTAAGCTGTCATCTCCCCATACTAGAAAATATAGTTAAGAAAGATGCATGAGTCATGTACGACATGAGTCACATGAGTCATTCTGATATTAACCTACGTTGTCTAAATATTAAACCGTATTCACTAGTACAATAATAAAAAAGAGTTTAGTATTTGCCTAAGTGTGCAGTAGTACATAGATGAGACAGGAAAGATGGGAAAGGGGTGGGGGAGTCCTAATTAAATGAGAGAGAAACTGAATTTGCATATGCTCAATTAGTGCATCTGGATATAGACAAGAAATCATCCACAGATACACAATATGCTGGAAAAATCCTTAGGTCACTGGTCTGGTTTTAGCTGCCTAGTTTTCTAGAAAAGCAGTGTTTTTGAAGAACCCTTAACTCTCCTGTATCATGGCTAGTAAATGGTTCTTGCCTGTTGTTGCCTCTTCTTAACTTCTGAAACTTCACAAAATAGCTTGAATAAAGTCTTTTCAGGGGTGACAACCGGATTAGATTAAAACATGGCAAAAAAGAAAGGGGATCAGATAAGAAGTTTACTTTGCTAAGCAGAAAGAACGTGGTCAATGAGAATGGAGACAAGATACAAATCAGAAGAATAAGTCGTGAGTATCAGACGGAGGAGTTCAGAGACATGGAACACATTTTAGGGGAGGTGAACAAAAACAAAAAAGTATCATGATAACACAAACCCAATATCCTATCTTTACCATTTCTATTGTACTATAGGAAGGGAATGTGTGTGGGAGGACTTTGATGGTGTCAGGGACATAATTTGTCTTCCTGGATAATTTGGGTCTTGTGGATTCCCCTAGGTTATCATGAAGGAATGCTGGGCTTTAAGGTTTCCTAAGTTGCTAGTGCTTCCCTGCCTGTCCAAAGCAACTCAAAATCTCATGGACACTGATAGTGGGATTCAGCACCAATAACCTCATTAAGAGCACCACTTTAGGAGTCAGAGATTTGTGATGGTTGTTGGCAAAGATTTAAATGTGTTAAACTACTACAAAATATTATGCAGGGAGTATACAGATATCTATGTAAGAAAGGTCGTAAGACCTTAAGAAGGTCTTAAGAAATCTTTGTAACTATGTTATCTAATATGTGGTGATGACAACCTAGCAAAGCTGTCAAGGACTGGAGAGTCAGCCATTGGCTGGAACCTCAGGTAGACACCTGAACGAATAGCCTCTTGCGTGATTTCTTCAGAATGGTTTAATACGTGAGGTCCCCACCACCACTAAACAGAAGCTATGACTTTTAATTAAAAAACCTTATGACTGCAGAACAAGCAGCAAAATGAATTGTACATCAAATTCTCAATCTAACATGATTTTAATAGGAAGTGTGGCTTTTAATTTAAAATGCTATGGCTCCACAGAAGGAAGCAAAATGAATTATCCCCCAAGTTCTCAACATGTTTTTAACATGCAATGGGAAGAGCCTTACCCAGTGTCACGTGGATCGTGGAAGGTCCGGCCCTGTGTCTGGTTGTTTTGATTCTCACTCCAACTGCTTGTCCAGCAGAGCTTTCTTCCTGTTCGACGCTTCTATGGTCACACTGCCTTTCTGGGGCTCAACTGGCATCACATGCAGATTCTCAAGGTCATGCGCATCTCTGATATTAACGTAGGCTGTCCGAAAAGGGATAGGGAATCACAACAATTAAATGGAAAAGGCGTAAAGAAACTTCCCCACTAAAACATTTGCAGGCATGTCATTCTGAAACACAGGGAAGAAATGAAATCTCATCTGTGATGTAGATGCCACAGTTTATTTTCTTTTTTGTTATTATTCTAAATGCTTTCTGTGATACTGTTATGTTATTTAGTTCGTGCTAAAATCGTCCCTCTTGTTAAAAGTATGATTTGGGGACAGGAAAGAAGGGAGATAACAATTTCCTTGTGTCTTCTATAGGCCAAATCTGTGTAGCTTCTTTCTCTACTGTTTTCTGTTTGAATTCTCACATCAGTCCTGGTGTGAGTTTTTTTCCTGTTATACACATGCAATTTTTCAACAGAACTGCAATCACACTCTACATGCTGTCTTGTAATCTCCTGACACAAAATACATTTCTCTGCTTTGTCCACTTCATAAAAATGGTTGCCTGGAGAAAATTTAGGACACCTGGCAAGCGCCACCTTGTGACTAGAACCAGAACTGCAGACACCCAGCTCCTTAGGGGGAAGGGTGGGAACTACAGCCATGCAGACAGTAAGTAGCCTTCTCAGGCTTCTAGAGTTTTTCATTCTCAATTTAAGCGTTGTGTGGTTGTGCTAGGTAAATATAGGATCATAGTTCCTCATTTTAATGCTTTTTTGTTATTACAATATCTCTCATGCATATTGTGTATCTTTCTTTATCTTTTGATTTTCCCAAGAAGAAAGCAAATCCCCACAATAATGGTCAAATATAATGGTTTGCTCTATATGTTTCTAGGTTTTTCCTACAGATATTTATAAACGTGCATGTTTTATGAAATGAGACCATTATCCTTCCCAAGAATATATCTGAACATCTTTCTACATAAATAAATGTTTTCTACATCACCTTTTTGTGAATTACTTTTATAAGATTTTTCACTATTTCTAAGTTTTATCTCATTTTCTCATAATGAAAATTACTGAAGCCTACTCTTTTCCAAGTAAGATTTAAAAAATGGAGAAATGTGATATATAGAAGGTTGAAATGTTTTGTCTTTCCAACTACACTTATAGCCCCAATTAATAAAGTAGCATGTATATTTCCAGATTTTCCTTGCATATATTTTACTAATATGATACAGGCCATTCTTCAATTTGCTTATTTTTAGAATGTTCCTTGGGCATCTTTTCTTATCATTGCATTTAGCTCACTGTATTAGCTTATTCTTTTTATAGCTGCATAGTATTCAACATTATGGATACCTTATCCTATGTGACTATTCCATAGTATATTTTAAACAATTTTTGAATTCTTTCTCAAGGGTACATAAAAGTACAAATAAATATCCTCTGCTTGAACCAAAGTCCAGATGATAGCCTAAATATTTGCCTTGCCAGAAAAGCACAAGCAACCAGATAACCAGCCTTCTCAGATCCTCAGAAAGATTCACTTTCAGCTAAAGACAATGGACTGTGCTTGGTATCTATTTAAATGTCTATAACAAAATAGATTGTTCCTTTCAGCTCCAATATGTCTTTTCAAGAAAATCAAAAGGCACATAAAATCTAAAGGAAAAAATACTCGCCATCAGTTCTCCAATCCCTGAGTTTTTCCCTGCTTACAATTGAGTCTAATCCCTTTGATTTTTTTCCTTCATCATATATATATTAGAATATACTATTTGAAATTATATTTATTCACCCACATATTTGAACATCTTTACATGTTTATATATGTTTACACATTTTGGGGAAAGCAGTTTTTTCCTCATGTTTTAAAATTCTCATCTCAGTTTTTTTATGCTGATATAGGTACTACATGTTAAGTGAAATGTGGAAGAAAGAAGTGGAAAATTTCCTCTTTCTTTCTTAGACATTCTATATTACTAGATATACTGTTTGTTGTGATTTACTATATTAATATATGCCTATTATTTTTTAGTTTAAGATCTTTCATATATTTTTCATATTACAAATGGGAATATATCATTCTTTTGATAGATAGGTAGAGATGTAGACAAAGATTGTGCTTTGCACATCCATAAAAAAGCGATTCTTTTAAGACACTGAGTGTCCCTTGACAAATAACCAAACTTCTAATTCTCAGAAGTACTTAAATCTGCAGTTATAGATTACTTCACGTTATTACTATACAAACTCCTCCAAAACAGTTAGATTTGTTAGAAATACAATCAACACAACCAAAGTAATATACAAATCCAATATCCCCAGCTAACTTCATTTTTCATTTGGAATTATCACAATTTTTTTCAAAGAAAGAAACATTAATTTCTCCAGTTTTGTTTCATCATTTGTTTTTGATACCACTGCTTTTTGATCGAAACATGAAATAGCCTGTTCAAAAGTTTTTAGCTCTTGTAACCTCATGAAGTATTTTTTCCGCAGGTGTAATCTGATCACCACCTCCCCCACTTTTAAAATGTGGACTTTTAAAATCTATGGAGGAATACAAAATCCAGATATTAATTCCCTCACAGAAACGATTCTCACAAAACGACACTCCTCTCCCACTGCTCCAAAGCGGCAGTCTCTGGTTTTCTCACCTTTACTTCAAAGTCTCCAGAAACCTCCGAAAATAACTAGCTTTTACGACAGCCATTACCTCCAAGCTGCTTCTCTTCAGCGGAAGCCTCCGAAGTGTGTGTGTATTGCGGCTCCTCCCCCAAGACTGGCCGGGCACAGCTCGCTTCCAAGCTTTTAGAGGATGCTCCGCCCCCTCCCTGTGATGGGGAAAGCAGGAGGTCCTTCCCTCACGTGAAAGGAGGAGAATCACCAAGTTAAACCGAAATACAATTGAAGGAAAGAAATGTTCCTTTTACAGAAGTTTAAAGTGTAACGGCAACATATGTCTGTTCAATTTCCATTCAAATCCCTGGGGTAAGCGATTTTCTCAAAAAAAAAAAAAAAGAGAGAAAGAAAAGAAAAAGAGGTAGCAAATTTCTTTTTCATATAGGAAAGATGCAGTTAAAAGATTCCTTATTTTTTTTCAGGCCTTCTCTAATACTTTATGTGTTAAATTTAAGACGTGTTAGTCAAGCTCCACTTAAAAAGCGTGCTAAATCCCTCGATTGGAATTATAGTGGATTGATGCTTTATTTTACGTAGAATTAATTCTTTACAATTTTGAATCTGAACCTGGGACGTAATATGTCTTTCTTTTCACTCAGGTCTTCTGATACTTTCATCCTTAGGTCATTTCTAAAGAAAAATCCTCAAACAAAATCTGATATATTGAAATTGAAAAAATATATGTTTCAATAGTAAAATCATAATAAGCCAAAGTCAAAAATCAACCACTAATTTGGAAGTGCTTTCCAATAAGTATGATTAGATAAACAAAAATATCCCTAAACCAGTTCTTATATTTCAATAAGAAAGAAATGAACAACAGAGTGGAGAACTGGGCAAAGGATACAAGCGGACAATTCGCAACGTTCGTTCCTGCTCCTGATATTTACTCCTCTGTGACGACAGCTCAAGTAGTGCTCTCTCTGCTTCTTCTAGCCTCCATAGGCCTCTAGGCTGAGGAATAGTTTGTTTAAATCCGGGATTCTGTAAGTTCCGTTTGAGAGTCCCATTTTACTCTCCAAATGAGCAATATCCTGCAATTCACTTTCTCCTGTTAATAAAGCTGACATTTTGGTTCCATCTGCTATTCTGTTTGTTTTATTGCAATGTGTTCATTATTTTCAAGATATGACCACTGTAAACTTTTATGTACCCACTAGTGAAACTCAAAACGTATAATAATGCAAAAATGGATAGAAATACATTACTGAGGAGGCAATTTTAACTCCAACAGAAGTGGGAGAAAATACTGATCAGCTCCTCCTGTGGCTTTTTTTTAACATACAAAGCATTTTCATCTTTCCCAGATTAAATCCTATTTATTTTGGTCTGGTGGTGTTTGTTATGATTTCTAATAGTGCATTCTCTCAAGAACTCTGATGTAATTTCAAAAACCAAAGCTTCTCAATATTGCAATGCTAAAAAAACTGGATTCTGTTCATGAGAATCTCTGCAAAATTGTGGGATCAGTTCTGCTGTTTATCAAGGACATAATACTAAGAAACATTGTTCATTGAAACATAGCAACATTGAGAACAGAGAACTGGTAAACTTTGTTCTTTAAAAGCATAAGACCTTGAGAAGCTTTGTTGTTCAGAACAAAATGTTCTACTCTAAGGGTTGTTCTTTAATTGGTTACTGATGTTATTTTAATTTTCTTTCATGTTAAAAATAGTTTATAAAGAAACAGAATATAGAAATAAACATTGCAAAATATAAATTATTGAATATACCAGGTGTTGGTGAGGATGAGGGGCAACTAAAAGATCCATACACTGCTGGAGTGCAAACTGGAACTAATATTTTGGGAAATGTTTGGCATTATCCCCTAAAGTTGAACAGCGTAGAGGTTAACAGAGAACATTTAGGGCTTCCAGGAGCAGAGTGGCATATCTAAATTGGTAGTAGAGAAACGATCTCCACAGAGAGTTATGTATACTCCAGAGCACATATAAGACCATCCAGTGGGGTGTAGGAAGTAAATATTCAAAATTGAAAAAGTTGTTTTTCATTTTGATTTATTTTATAAGCTTCTATTTATAATATTTTTCAATGTTCATGATAAATTGTACTGTAGTACATTATGTGCTTTATAAAAATACAAACTATGGGAGATGTCAACAAATTTTTACAGTAGTGATAATAAAAGAATATGTAGAGATCTCTGCTTTATGGGACTCACAGCCCAGATAATCCTTCCACTTGTCTTATGCTTCGTTTGCATGGTTTGGGATTATAATCTCATAAAAAGACTAATTAATTTGAACTTCCTAGATTGCCTATATAGTGATTTCACTGCTCAGAAAAGCTATCATTACTCTCGTTAAACGTTTAAGATAATAATGAGAAATTGAATTATAGTAAGCCAAGCTTTTACCAAAGGATGGTTCTTGCCAACTTCAGTCAATGCTAAAAATATGTGGGCCTACATTTAGTCATTTGAACTATATTATATACAGGTTTTCACTGTAAAGCCAAAATTTTAATGCCAACAATGATTGTGTTTTCCTTTAATGTCAACCTAAATTTAATTTCTAAGTTCTCTAATTGACTTTCAGACCTTGAAAATGAGTGAATATTTTTTGGACACCTGGAAAATTCTTAAGAAAATCAGAATGCATAAACACAGAGCGTCAAACATACCAAGAATAAATGTAATAATTTTTATTTAGTCTTACATACAAAAGTATTTACTTCTTACAAAGTTCAAATTAAAATGATAAAATCCATATTTAATGTGCATCACCTTATAATATGTTGAGAGATTAGTTATACTTTAAAGCTCAAGTTTAGACCTTTCTATAATATGTATTTATTTGTGTGTATCTGGGTCCATATGTTTAAATATATACATATAATGGTACATTAATTTAAATAAGAGCAACTTAATAGAAAGAAGAGGATTAAATAACTAAAATGAAAAATGATCTTAGAACATACAATCTACACTCACAATGAGATCACATGGACTTATTATTTATTTTTTGCATATTCTATTCAGGTCTATCTATGCCTTATCTGTATGTATATTTTCAATACAAAATGGTTAACCTGTATTCTCTTATACTACTCCTTATCACATTCATAGATTCCTCTTTTCAGGAAGAGCTAAATTTTTTACACATTGTTGTCCTTCTTTATGCTATGTTTATCTTAAATGCTGTATTGTCACTCTGGTTAATGACGTAACCCAGGATAAAACTGTTGCTTGTTCTTCAGTCCCTATGTTTTAACTTTAATTGAGCAGCCAGTTTCCCCTAATAGCTCCTTGTTCTATTTTCTTCCCCCAAATCCAACCCTAAATTTAGAGTAATAAAACTGTCAAGGTGTCTCTTACATCCAAATCATCTTTGGCAGTTTCCAGATGACTAGAAGATAATACAAAAGCTTTATTCCCTCACCTAATAAAAGGAAGGAAGAAAAATCAACTTAAGTGTATTTGCTATGCTCTGTATTTTGTAATTGGATCCACAGTGTTAGAAGAACTACTTTTTTTTCAGACACACATTATAAAAAATCTGTCACTTCAAAAAGAGAGAATCAACTCCCAGGTTAATTTTGTATAGCAAAACTATTATTGATAAAGTAACTACCTGTTCAGGATATATAGACGCGTGCTCTTATTCATGTGCGTGGGCTGGCACAATAACATTTTACAAATTGATGTATAAGATTTCATTTCTAGGTTATTATTCCTTGCTTATTAGTGATGATTGTGGTCCACACTTATGGGAAGGTTTTAAAAGTCTTAGATACTTGTCAATCACAATCTATAAAATGTTCTTACACTTACTTTTGACAAATTTTACCTGTCTTTAAGAAAAAGCCATGGTTGGAACCATGTATTTATGTATTTTACCCAATAGGGGAATCCATGCTTCTATTCTGATACATTCAATCACTCTAATAAATTAACCCAAGCCTATCAGTCTTCTACCTCTCTCTCACACACCCGTGAACTTAAGGGTCCCTGTCACAAGCTATAGGTCAATGATGGATATAATGGAAGAAAGGTCCAAGAAAGTCAGCCTCAGAGCCACAATGTAATGGATTGTATAAAGGACGGGAGAGTCAAAATTTCTGGGACTGTATTAGCCCAGAAGGAGAGGACTTTAAGACATAGACTGCCGACCCAAGACAAATGGGACAAGAATTAGTTACATGTGACTGAGGAAGGACTGAGTGAAATAAATGAGAAAAATCTAATTGTGATTGTTTGTATTGGGATGTTTTAGGTATTGTGCTTGATATGCTTTATTCAGAAAGTCTTATACCACAAAGCTTTTCTCTTTCTTCTTCTCCTTTTTCTTTTCTTCCTCCTCCTTTTTTATTCTAACTCTCGAAATCACAAGGTATCAGTAATATTTCACACTTTAAGTCATATGAAATTCAAGTGATCCCCAAAAAATCCATGGAAAGAATATTATGGTGTAGCTCATGTCATTGAATTTTAGGATGCAACAGATTAAATTCTTCAGAATATTACAGTATAGAGTATAGCCCATCAGAATTTGGAAAAACACAAAATTTCTTATATGTTTATTTTATGACATTCTAATGAAAACCAGAGTGTAAATATGACTTTTCAGGCAAATAACAAACTTAAAGATGATGACTCTAGATATATAGGAAGCTGTTAAAAAGGCCCACTGTTTAGCCTTTATATATTGCCAGGGAGGCATATGGCAAGATGGTTACATGTTTGATATTTTCAATATGACAGTCTGACAAATATGAATTTCTTTCTCAGCTCTCTTGCTTATTGCTTATTAGTTGTGTAATCGTAAATAAGTTCCTCAGCTTCTTTTTTTATTTAAATTTTTATTTTTTTCGGATGTACATCATATTTTGAATTCTGTGTACATTACATCATGTTCACCACCCGAACACTAATTATAGTGCATCCCCTCACATGTAAGCCTAATCACCCCTTTTGCCCTCCCCCCTTCCCCAATGGTAACCACCAGTCCAATCTCCAATGCTATGTGTTGTTTTTTTTGTCATTTTTATCTTCTACTTATGAGTGAGATCATATGGTATTTGACTTTCTCCCTCTGACTTGTTTCACTCAGCATAATACCCTCAAGGTCACAAATGGCCGGATTTCGTCATTTCTTCTGGCTGAGTAGTATTCCATCGTGTATAAATACCACATCTTCTTTATCCATTCGTCCCTTGATGGGCACC